CAGAACTAAAACACACCATAACTTATAGAATTTGGGGAGAGTGATGGGGGAGGGTGGATCGGGAGAGGGTCCTGACGTTAGAGCTGTGTCACCCACCTGACAGTTAACTTACACTATATTTGACATTTCTAATGACAAAGGATGAAAGATTCTACAGGTAAAAGTCCTGAGATGAGAATGTTATTTGAGTTAAAGTAAAGAATAATCAAGTAAATGTATTAAAAGCAGAAGTACTCAGTGGAGAAAAACAGCATCTTATTACTGTATTATTATTATTATTATCATCATGTATTAAAGTAAAAGCAAGATTTCACTGCTGCGGTTGGTTGAGGTTGAGATCATTTATCTATAATTTACTATCAAAGTGCAGCTGATGATTATTTCCATTACGGTATAATTCACTCATTATTCTCTCGTGCTTCCTGATTCTTCTCTGTTCATCTGCATGAAGTTTGTTAAACCATTTGTCTCATCGTGTTTCTGTCATTAATATAAATTTACTTTCTATACGTCACTTTATTGGTGAAATGTCGAAGCTTCCTACACGGTGGTCAAACAACAAGATATTACAGTAAAAACAGACGTTATTGTACTTTAGGGCCACATGATGAACTTGAGCCTCTCAGCACCTGAACACAACCTCATCAATCCGTGATCGCCAAGACAAATCCCACGTGTGTCCCTCCTCCATTTATCTGAGATCCATCACACGTGTTTATGGAGGCGAGTCGTCGTTGGACACCAACAGCTCTCCTTCCTCGATGGATCGTTACTGTATTTGTGCAGAAAGTTACGAGCAGAAGAGGCGCCGCTACTTGACGTCTTCTTCGTTCGCTTTAAGCAGCAGCGACGCTCAGCAAGAGTTCACTTCCCCATTCACAGAATTACAGGCCGGTTGGTTTCGCAGTTGATTATCACACATTAACTTTATATGGGCAAAGAGGAGATTGCAGTGCTGCCATTGGCTGTTATTATTATGTTTGCTGGTGACCAACGTTCACAACATGAGGAGCTTTAAAAAGGGGAAATGTTGTTCTAATCAGACTGTAACATCAGTCAGTGGATCCTCCTGCAGACTCAACACAACAACGTCTGCAGCTCAGAGGCTGCTGATCAGCACAGGTGAGAAAAACTACTGCAGCTATCAGCATTTCATAGATGTGATGCATGTGAAGGAACTTTACACTGTAAATGGATGTATGTTAAATACCAAGAAGGCGTCAGATACAAATAATGCATATTGAGTTTTGACCAATTCAGCCTTCCCTTTAATGTGTATGAGATGAAAAATGTCATTTTCAGTCTACGTGGTGATAATCAATAGTAAATGTAAGGTTCTGTGTTAATAATGATGACTTTACAGACTGTGGTGTTGCTCTTAGTGGATGAGTTAAAGGTGGATGCTGCGTTTACGGCACTTCACCATCAACACGTGTATCATGTTGTTGTTAAACAGTAAAATGCTGTAAAACTCTCCTTCTCTCCCCTGTAGACGAGATGAAGGTTCTTCTGGTCGTCTCCGTCATGTTCGCTCTCCTCCATCTGGGGCAACATGAACCTTGTAACTCTCCAGGTAAAAAGGGTGCGGACCAAAAGTTTGTGAAGAAACACATCCTTCAAACTGAGGGAATACCTGGACTTGAGGACTTCGACCCCAAAAAAAAGGCTTCATGGCAGAAGTGAGTGAACGATTTAAGTCAACAAGTTAAATGTGAAACATAAACATTGTTTGTGAAAAAATATATTTTTTGACACTTGTTCTTGATACACATAAGTTATTGAACTACATTGGAAAGAGCCACTACTTTTTAGTGAAACAATGATCTCATTACACAGGTACATAAAGAAGAAAAAGCTCTGCAACAAGAAAATCACAAGTATGAGAAGGACGCAGACCTTCTTCAATCTGACGGATCAGGAGAAAGTGGAGGCGATCTGTCGTGATGGGGGCTTCCGGGTAAAGCCGATCGACAAGCCACCAAAAGATGACAGTAATAACTATTGCATCAGTGATAAAGCGATAGGAATGTATGTGTTGTCAATCAACAAAAAATGCAAGGTTACATCGGCTGACGTACAGAAGAAATTAGTGATCGTGTCTTGTGATTTATTTCGCACCGAGTGCCTCCCTGTACACTTTGAGGCGTACAACAAACAAAAAGCAAGTAACATCTCCTGCAGTGGAGGCCGAGTTTCTGGACTTGTTTAACGTTGGATCCCAGTCGTCGGCCCGTTGTTGAGCTGGCAGCTAAAACCTCTTTCAGGCTCATAGTTGAAGCCTTCATGCTTTTATACTCTGTGTGAAATGTCTGATTGTGACACTTGCTGATAATGATCCACATCAACAGGCTGCATGTCTACATGACTCACTTTTCCACCATGAGTTGACTTTGTATTTGTCTCCCTTCAGCTTCGCAAGCTTTCTTCCTGCATTAAACATGTGAACTTGCAGCATCATCATTGCTGCTCCAAACTGTCTGTAGCAGCTCAGAAATAAAAGCATTCAGTAAAAACGTCTCTACGTTGCTCCTTCTTTCTTTAAGCAAAGGACGTTCAGCAGAATCAAGGATTTCTTGTGAAATGTGAGCGGAGCGACCTGCAGAACTAAAACACACACTACTTATAGAATGTGGGGGGGAGTGATGGGGGAGGGTGGATGGGGGAGGGTCCTGACGTTAGAGCTGTGTCACCCACCTGACAGTTAACTTACACTATATTTGACATTTCTAATGACAAAGGATGAAAGATTCTACAGGTAAAAGTCCTGAGATGAGAATGTTATTTGAGTTAAAGTAAAGAATAATCAAGTAAATGTATTAAAAGCAGAAGTACTCAGTGGAGAAAAACAGCATCTTATTACTGTATTATTATTATTATTATCATCATGTATTAAAGTAAAAGCAGGATTTCACTGCTGCGGTTGGTTGAGGTTGAGATCATTTATCTATTATTTACTATCAAAGTGCAGCTGATGATTATTTCCATTACGGTTTAATTCACTCATTATTCTCTCATGCTTCCTGTTTTTTCTCTGTTCATCTGCATGAAGTTTGTTAAACCATTTGTCTCATCGTGTTTCTGTCATTAATATAAATGTACTTTCTATACGTCACTTTATTGGTGAAATGTTGAAGCTTCCTTCACGGTGGTCAAACAACAAGATATTACAGTGAAAACAGACGTTATTGTACTTTAGGGCCAAATGGTGAACTTGAGCCTCTCAGCACCTGAACACAACCTCATCAATCCGTGATCGCCAAGACAAATCCCACGTGTGTCCCTCCTCCATTTATCTGAGATCCATCACACGTGTTTATGGAGGCGAGTCGTCGTTGGACACTAACAGCTCTCCTTCCTCGATGGATCGTTACTGTATTTGTGCAGAAAGTTACGAGCAGAAGAGGCGCCGCTACTTGACGTCTTCTTCGTTCGCTTTAAGCAGCAGCGACGCTCAGCAAGAGTTCACTTCCCCATTCACAGAATTACAGGCCGGTCGGTTTTGCAGTTGATTATCACACATTAACTTTATATGGGCAAAGAGGAGATTGCAGTGCTGCCATTGGCTGTTATTATTATGTTTGCTGGTGACCAACGTTCACAACATGAGGAGCTTTAAAAAGGGGAAATGTTGTTCTAATCAGACTGTAACATCAGTCAGTGGATCCTCCTGCAGACTCAACACAACAACGTCTGCAGCTCAGAGGCTGCTGATCAGCACAGGTGAGAAAAACTACTGCAGCTATCAGCATTTCATAGATGTGATGCATGTGAAGGAACTTTACACTGTAAATGGATGTATGTTAAATACCAAGAAGGCGTCAGATACAAATAATGCATATTGAGTTTTGACCAATTCAGCCTTCCCTTTAATGTGTATGAGATGAAAAATGTCATTTTCAGTCTACGTGGTGATAATCAATAGTAAATGTAAGGTTCTGTGTTAATAATGATGACTTTACAGACTGTGGTGTTGCTCTTAGTGGATGAGTTAAAGGTGGATGCTGCGTTTACGGCACTTCACCATCAACACGTGTATCATGTTGTTGTTAAACAGTAAAATGCTGTAAAACTCTCCTTCTCTCCCCTGTAGACGAGATGAAGGTTCTTCTGGTCGTCTCCGTCATGTTCGCTCTCCTCCATCTGGGGCAACATGAACCTTGTAACCCTCCACGTGACAACAATGCGTACGACAAATTTGTGCTCAAACACATCCTTCAACCTCAGGACATACCTGAACTTGATGAGAACTTTACCAGAACATCAACCACTGAATGGCAGAAGTAAGTGAACAATTTAAGTCAACAAGTTCATTGTTAACTTGAGACGTGAGACACTTAAAGCAGTTTAAACTTAAACATTGTTTGTGAAAAATTCATTTTTTGGACACTCCTGCTCAATACTCATATTTCAAACAGCAACTGCTTTTTAGTGAAACAATGATCTCATTACACAGGTACTTAAAAGCTAAAGGCCTCTGCAAAGATAGACCGAAGCAGTCCTTCTTCGAGAAGAGGGATCAGGAGAAAGTGGAGGCGATCTGTCGTGGTGGGGGCTTCCGGGTAAAGTCGATCAACAAGCCACCAAAAGATGACAGAAAGAACTTTTGCATCAGTAAAAAAAAAATAGGTGTGTATAATTTAAAAGTCGAAAACAACAGTTGCGAAGTTAAATTTCCTGTAAAACAACTGAAAAGAAGAGTGATCGTGGCTTGTGATTTATTTGGCACCAAGTGCCTCCCTTCACACTTTCAGTGGTATGAAACACAAAACTCAAGTAAGATCTCCTGCAGTGGAGGCCGAGTTTCTGGACTTGTTTAACGTTGGATCCCAGTCGTCGGCCCGTTGTTGAGCCGGCAGCTAAAACCTCTTTCAGGCTCATAGTTGAAGCCTTCATGCTTTTATACTCTGTGTGAAATGTCTGATTGTAACACTTGCTGATAATGATCCACATCAACAGGCTGCATGTCTACATGACTCACTTTTCCAGCATGAGTTGACTTTGTATTTGTCTCCCTTCAGCTTCTCAAGCTTTCTTCCTGCATTAAACATGTGAACTTGCAGCATCATCATTGCTGCTCCAAACTGTCTGTAGCAGCTCAGAAATAAAAGCATTCAGTAAAAACGTCTCTACGTTGGTCCTTCTTTCTTTAAGCAAAGAACGTTCAGCAGAATCAAGGATTTCTTGTGAAATGTGAGCGGAGCGACCTGCAGAACTAAAACACACACTACTTATAGAATGTGGGGGGGAGTGATGGGGGAGGGTGGATGGGGGAGGGTCCTGACGTTAGAGCTGTGTCACCCACCTGACAGTTAACTTACACTATATTTGACATTTCTAATGACAAAGGATGAAAGATTCTACAAGTAAAAGTCCTGAGATGAGAATGTTATTTGAGTTAAAGTAAAGAATAATCAAGTAAATGTATTAAAAGCAGAAGTACTCAGTGGAGAAAAACAGCATCTTATTACTGTATTATTATTATTATTATTATCATCATGTATTAAAGTAAAAGCAGGATTTCACTGCTGCAGTTGGTTGAGGTTGAGATCATTTATCTATAATTTACTATCAATGTGCAGCTGATGATTATTTCCATTACGGTTTAATTCACTCATTATTCTCTCGTGCTTCCTGTTTTTTCTCTGTTCATCTGCATCAAGTTTGTTAAACCATTTGTCTCATCGTGTTTCTGTTATTAATATAAATTTACTTTCTATACGTCACTTTATTGGTGAAATGTTGAAGCTTCCTTCACGGTGGTCAAACAACAAGATATTACAGTAAAAACAGACGTTATTGTACTTTAGGGCCAAATGGTGAACTTGAGCCTCTCAGCACCTGAACACAACCTCATCAATCCGTGATCGCCAAGACAAATCCCACGTGTGTCCCTCCTCCATTTATCTGAGATCCATCACACGTGTTTATGGAGGCGAGTCGTCGTTGGACACTAACAGCTCTCCTTCCTCGATGGATCGTTACTGTATTTGTGCAGAAAGTTACGAGCAGAAGAGGCGCCGCTACTTGACGTCTTCTTCGTTTGCTTTAAGCAGCAGCGACGCTCAGCAAGAGTTCACTTCCCCATTCACAGAATTACAGGCCGGTCGGTTTTGCAGTTGATTATCACACATTAACTTTATATGGGCAAAGAGGAGATTGCAGTGCTGCCATTGGCTGTTATTATTATGTTTGCTGGTGACCAACGTTCACAACATGAGGAGCTTTAAAAAGGGGAAATGTTGTTCTAATCAGACTGTAACATCAGTCAGTGGATCCTCCTGCAGACTCAACACAACAACGTCTGCAGCTCAGAGGCTGCTGATCAGCACAGGTGAGAAAAACTACTGCAGCTATCAGCATTTCATAGATGTGATGCATGTGAAGGAACTTTACACTGTAAATGGATGTATGTTAAATACCAAGAAGGCGTCAGATACAAATAATGCATATTGAGTTTTGACCAATTCAGCCTTCCCTTTAATGTGTATGAGATGAAAAATGTCATTTTCAGTCTACGTGGTGATAATCAATAGTAAATGTAAGGTTCTGTGTTAATAATGATGACTTTACAGACTGTGGTGTTGCTCTTAGTGGATGAGTTAAAGGTGGATGCTGCGTTTACGGCACTTCACCATCAACACGTGTATCATGTTGTTGTTAAACAGTAAAATGCTGTAAAACTCTCCTTCTCTCCCCTGTAGACGAGATGAAGGTTCTTCTGGTCGTCTCCGTCATGTTCGCTCTCCTCCATCTGGGGCAACATGAACCTTGTAACCCTCCACGTGACAACAATGCGTACGACAAATTTGTGCTCAAACACATCCTTCAACCTCAGGGAATACTTGATAAGAACTTTACCAGAACATCAACCACTGAATGGCAGAAGTAAGTGAACAATTTCAGTCAACAAGTTCATTGTTAACTTGAGACGTGAGACACTTAAAGCAGTTTAAACTTAAACATTGTTTGTGAAGAATTCATTTTTTGGACACTCCTGCTCAATACTCATATTTCAAAGTTCTTAAACTACATTGTAAACAGCAACTGCTTTTTAGTGACACAATGATCTCATTACACAGGTACATAGACGAGAAAAAGCTCTGCGACATTAAGAGACCGAAGCAGACCTTCTTCGAGGAGAAGGATCAGGAAACAGTCAAAGCGATCTGCATCAACGGGGGCACTCAGGTAAAGGCCAGCGACCAGCCAAAAGATCCGAACCTAAAGAACTTATGCATCAGTGATACTGAGATGAGTATGACTGTATTGCAAATCGACAACAATTGCAAGGTTACATCGGCTACTCGGGAATCTGAAGAAGTGATCGTGGGTTGTAATAAATTCGACAAAGGGTGCCTTCCTGCACACTTTCAGGAAAATACAGGGCAAGAATCAAATGGTGAGAAGTGCAGTGGAGGCCGAGTTTCTGGACTTGTTTAACGTTGGATCCCAGTCGTCGGCCCGTTGTTGAGCCGGCAGCTAAAACCTCTTTCAGGCTCATAGTTGAAGCCTTCATGCTTTTATACTCTGTGTGAAATGTCTGATTGTAACACTTGCTGATAATGATCCACATCAACAGGCTGCATGTCTACATGACTCACTTTTCCACCATGAGTTGACTTTGTATTTGTCTCCCTTCAGCTTCTCAAGCTTTCTTCCTGCATTAAACATGTGAACTTGCAGCATCATCATTGCTGCTCCAAACTGTCTGTAGCAGCTCAGAAATAAAAGCATTCAGTAAAAACGTCTCTACGTTGGTCCTTCTTTCTTTAAGCAAAGAACGTTCTGCAGAATCAAGGATTTCTTGTGAAATGTGAGCGGAGCGACCTGCAGAACTAAAACACACACTACTTATAGAATGTGGGGGGGAGTGATGGGGGAGGGTGGATGGGGGAGGGTCCTGACGTTAGAGCTGTGTCACCCACCTGACAGTTAACTTACACTATATTTGACATTTCTAATGACAAAGGATGAAAGATTCTACAAGTAAAAGTCCTGAGATGAGAATGTTATTTGAGTTAAAGTAAAGAATAATCAAGTAAATGTATTAAAAGCAGAAGTACTCAGTGGAGAAAAACAGCATCTTATTACTGTATTATTATTATTATTATCATCATGTATTAAAGTAAAAGCAGGATTTCACTGCTGCGGTTGGTTGAGGTTGAGATCATTTATCTATAATTTACTATCAAAGTGCAGCTGATGATTATTTCCATTACGGTTTAATTCACTCATTATTCTCTCGTGCTTCCTGTTTTTTCTCTGTTCATCTGCATCAAGTTTGTTAAACCATTTGTCTCATCGTGTTTCTGTCATTAATATAAATTTACTTTCTATACGTCACTTTATTGGTGAAATGTTGAAGCTTCCTTCACGGTGGTCAAACAACAAGATATTACAGTAAAAACAGACGTTATTGTACTTTAGGGCCAAATGGTGAACTTGAGCCTCTCAGCACCTGAACACAACCTCATCAATCCGTGATCGCCAAGACAAATCCCACGTGTGTCCCTCCTCCATTTATCTGAGATCCATCACACGTGTTTATGGAGGCGAGTCGTCGTTGGACACTAACAGCTCTCCTTCCTCGATGGATCGTTACTGTATTTGTGCAGAAAGTTACGAGCAGAAGAGGCGCCGCTACTTGACGTCTTCTTCGTTTGCTTTAAGCAGCAGCGACGCTCAGCAAGAGTTCACTTCCCCATTCACAGAATTACAGGCTGGTCGGTTTTGCAGTTGATTATCACACATTAACTTTATATGGGCAAAGAGGAGATTGCAGTGCTGCCATTGGCTGTTATTATTATGTTTGCTGGTGACCAACGTTCACAACATGAGGAGCTTTAAAAAGGGGAAATGTTGTTCTAATCAGACTGTAACATCAGTCAGTGGATCCTCCTGCAGACTCAACACAACAACGTCTGCAGCTCAGAGGCTGCTGATCAGCACAGGTGAGAAAAACTACTGCAGCTATCAGCATTTTATAGATGTGATGCATGTGAAGGAACTTTACACTGTAAATGGATGGATGTTAAATACCAGGAAGGCGTCAGATGAAAATAATGCATATTGAGTTTTGACCAATTCAGCCTTCCCTTTAATGTGTATGAGATGAAAAATGTCATTTTCAGTCTACGTGGTGATAATCAATAGTAAATGTAAGGTTCTGTGTTAATGATGATGACTTTACAGACTGTGGTGTTGCTCTTAGTGGATGAGTTAAAGGTGGATGCTGCGTTTACGGCACTTCACCATCAACACGTGTATCATGTTGTTGTTAAACAGTAAAATGCTGTAAAACTCTCCTTCTCTCCCCTGTAGACGAGATGAAGGTTCTTCTGGTCGTCTCCGTCATGTTCGCTCTCCTCCATCTGGGGCAACATGAACCTTGTAACTCTCCAGGTAAAAAGGGTGCGGACCAAAAGTTTGTGAAGAAACACATCCTTCAAACTGAGGGAATACCTGGACTTGAGGACTTCGACCCCAAAAAAAAGGCTTCATGGCAGAAGTGAGTGAACGATTTAAGTCAACAAGTTAAATGTGAAACATAAACATTGTTTGTGAAAAAATATATTTTTTGACACTTGTTCTTGATACACATAAGTTATTGAACTACATTGGAAAGAGCCACTACTTTTTAGTGAAACAATGATCTCATTACACAGGTACATAAAGAAGAAAAAGCTCTGCAACAAGAAAATCACAAGTATGAGAAGGACGCAGACCTTCTTCAATCTGACGGATCAGGAGAAAGTGGAGGCGATCTGTCGTGATGGGGGCTTCCGGGTAAAGCCGATCGACAAGCCACCAAAAGATGACAGTAATAACTATTGCATCAGTGATAAAGCGATAGGAATGTATGTGTTGTCAATCAACAAAAAATGCAAGGTTACATCGGCTGACGTACAGAAGAAATTAGTGATCGTGTCTTGTGATTTATTTCGCACCGAGTGCCTCCCTGTACACTTTGAGGCGTACAACAAACAAAAAGCAAGTAACATCTCCTGCAGTGGAGGCCGAGTTTCTGGACTTGTTTAACGTTGGATCCCAGTCGTCGGCCCGTTGTTGAGCTGACAGCTAAAACCTCTTTCAGGCTCATAGTTGAAGCCTTCATGCTTTTATACTCTGTGTGAAATGTCTGATTGTGACACTTGCTGATAATGATCCACATCAACAGGCTGCATGTCTACATGACTCACTTTTCCACCATGAGTTGACTTTGTATTTGTCTCCCTTCAGCTTCGCAAGCTTTCTTCCTGCATTAAACATGTGAACTTGCAGCATCATCATTGCTGCTCCAAACTGTCTGTAGCAGCTCAGAAATAAAAGCATTCAGTAAAAACGTCTCTACGTTGCTCCTTCTTTCTTTAAGCAAAGGACGTTCAGCAGAATCAAGGATTTCTTGTGAAATGTGAGCGGAGCGACCTGCAGAACTAAAACACACACTACTTATAGAATGTGGGGGGGAGTGATGGGGGAGGGTGGATGGGGGAGGGTCCTGACGTTAGAGCTGTGTCACCCACCTGACAGTTAACTTACACTATATTTGACATTTCTAATGACAAAGGATGAAAGATTCTACAGGTAAAAGTCCTGAGATGAGAATGTTATTTGAGTTAAAGTAAAGAATAATCAAGTAAATGTATTAAAAGCAGAAGTACTCAGTGGAGAAAAACAGCATCTTATTACTGTATTATTATTATTATTATCATCATGTATTAAAGTAAAAGCAGGATTTCACTGCTGCGGTTGGTTGAGGTTGAGATCATTTATCTATAATTTACTATCAAAGTGCAGCTGATGATTATTTCCATTACGGTTTAATTCACTCATTATTCTCTCGTGCTTCCTGTTTTTTCTCTGTTCATCTGCATGAAGTTTGTTAAACCATTTGTCTCATCGTGTTTCTGTCATTAATATAAATTTACTTTCTATACGTCACTTTATTGGTGAAATGTTGAAGCTTCCTTCACGGTGGTCAAACAACAAGATATTACAGTAAAAACAGACGTTATTGTACTTTAGGGCCACATGATGAACTTGAGCCTCTCAGCACCTGAACACAACCTCATCAATCCGTGATCGCCAAGACAAATCCCACGTGTGTCCCTCCTCCATTTATCTGAGATCCATCACACGTGTTTATGGAGGCGAGTCGTCGTTGGACACCAACAGCTCTCCTTCCTCGATGGATCGTTACTGTATTTGTGCAGAAAGTTACGAGCAGAAGAGGCGCCGCTACTTGACGTCTTCTTCGTTCGCTTTAAGCAGCAGCGACGCTCAGCAAGAGTTCACTTCCCCATTCACAGAATTACAGGCCGGTTGGTTTCGCAGTTGATTATCACACATTAACTTTATATGGGCAAAGAGGAGATTGCAGTGCTGCCATTGGCTGTTATTATTATGTTTGCTGGTGACCAACGTTCACAACATGAGGAGCTTTAAAAAGGGGAAATGTTGTTCTAATCAGACTGTAACATCAGTCAGTGGATCCTCCTGCAGACTCAACACAACAACGTCTGCAGCTCAGAGGCTGCTGATCAGCACAGGTGAGAAAAACTACTGCAGCTATCAGCATTTTATAGATGTGATGCATGTGAAGGAACTTTACACTGTAAATGGATGTATGTTAAATACCAAGAAGGCGTCAGATACAAATAATGCATATTGAGTTTTGACCAATTCAACCTTCCCTTTAATGTGTATGAGATGAAAAATGTCATTTTCAGTCTACGTGGTGATAATCAATAGTAAATGTAAGGTTCTGTGTTAATAATGATGACTTTACAGACTGTGGTGTTGCTCTTAGTGGATGAGTTAAAGGTGGATGCTGCGTTTACGGCACTTCACCATCAACACGTGTATCATGTTGTTGTTAAACAGTAAAATGCTGTAAAACTCTCCTTCTCTCCCCTGTAGACGAGATGAAGGTTCTTCTGGTCGTCTCCGTCATGTTCGCTCTCCTCCATCTGGGGCAACATGAACCTTGTAACTCTCCAGGTAAAAAGGGTGCGGACCAAATGTTTGTGAAGAAACACATCGTTCATACGGCCTTTGACAGAACATCAACCACTAAATGGCAGAAGTAAGTGAACAATTTAAGTCAACAAGTTCATCGTTAACTTGAGACGTGAGACACTTAAAGCAGTTTAAACTTAAACATTGTTTGTGAAGAATTCATTTTTTGGACACTCCTGCTCAATACTCATATTTCAAAGTTCTTAAACTACATTGTAAACAGCAACTGCTTTTTAGTGAAACAATGTTCTCATTACACAGGTACATAGACAAGAAAAAGCTCTGCGACATTAAGAGATCGAAGCAGACCTTCTTCAATCTGACGGATCAGGAAACAGTCAACGCGATCTGTCGTGATGGGGGCTTCCGGGTAAAGCCGATCGACAAGCCACCAAAAGATGACAGTAATAACTATTGCATCAGTGATAAAGCGATAGGAATGTATGTGTTGTCAATCAACAAAAAATGCAAGGTTACATCGGCTGACGTACAGAAGAAATTAGTGATCGTGTCTTGTGATTTATTTCGCACCGAGTGCCTCCCTGTACACTTTGAGGCGTACAACAAACAAAAAGCAAGTAACATCTCCTGCAGTGGAGGCCGAGTTTCTGGACTTGTTTAACGTTGGATCCCAGTCGTCGGCCCGTTGTTGAGCCGGCAGCTAAAACCTCTTTCAGGCTCATAGTTGAAGCCTTCATGCTTTTATACTCTGTGTGAAATGTCTGATTGTAACACTTGCTGATAATGATCCACATCAACAGGCTGCATGTCTACATGACTCACTTTTCCAGCATGAGTTGACTTTGTATTTGTCTCCCTTCAGCTTCTCAAGCTTTCTTCCTGCATTAAACATGTGAACTTGCAGCATCATCATTGCTGCTCCAAACTGTCTGTAGCAGCTCAGAAATAAAAGCATTCAGTAAAAACGTCTCTACGTTGGTCCTTCTTTCTTTAAGCAAAGAACGTTCAGCAGAATCAAGGATTTCTTGTGAAATGTGAGCGGAGCGACCTGCAGAACTAAAACACACACTACTTATAGAATGTGGGGGGGAGTGATGGGGGAGGGTGGATGGGGGAGGGTCCTGACGTTAGAGCTGTGTCACCCACCTGACAGTTAACTTACACTATATTTGACATTTCTAATGACAAAGGATGAAAGATTCTACAAGTAAAAGTCCTGAGATGAGAATGTTATTTGAGTTAAAGTAAAGAATAATCAAGTAAATGTATTAAAAGCAGAAGTACTCAGTGGAGAAAAACAGCATCTTATTACTGTATTATTATTATTATTATTATCATCATGTATTAAAGTAACAGCAGGATTTCACTGCTGCAGTTGGTTGAGGTTGAGATCATTTATCTATAATTTACTATCAATGTGCAGCTGATGATTATTTCCATTACGGTTTAATTCACTCATTATTCTCTCGTGCTTCCTGTTTTTTCTCTGTTCATCTGCATCAAGTTTGTTAAACCATTTGTCTCATCGTGTTTCTGTTATTAATATAAATTTACTTTCTATACGTCACTTTATTGGTGAAATGTTGAAGCTTCCTTCACGGTGGTCAAACAACAAGATATTACAGTAAAAACAGACGTTATTGTACTTTAGGGCCAAATGGTGAACTTGAGCCTCTCAGCACCTGAACACAACCTCATCAATCCGTGATCGCCAAGACAAATCCCACGTGTGTCCCTCCTCCATTTATCTGAGATCCATCACACGTGTTTATGGAGGCGAGTCGTCGTTGGACACTAACAGCTCTCCTTCCTCGATGGATCGTTACTGTATTTGTGCAGAAAGTTACGAGCAGAAGAGGCGCCGCTACTTGACGTCTTCTTCGTTCGCTTTAAGCAGCAGCGACGCTCAGCAAGAGTTCACTTCCCCATTCACAGAATTACAGGCCGGTCGGTTTTGCAGTTGATTATCACACATTAACTTTATATGGGCAAAGAGGAGATTGCAGTGCTGCCATTGGCTGTTATTATTATGTTTGCTGGTGACCAACGTTCACAACATGAGGAGCTTTAAAAAGGGGAAATGTTGTTCTAATCAGACTGTAACATCAGTCAGTGGATCCTCCTGCAGACTCAACACAACAACGTCTGCAGCTCAGAGGCTGCTGATCAGCACAGGTGAGAAAAACTACTGCAGCTATCAGCATTTTATAGATGTGATGCATGTGAAGGAACTTTACACTGTAAATGGATGGATGTTAAATACCAAGAAGGCATCAGATACAAATAATGCATATTGAGTTTTGACCAATTCAACCTTCCCTTTAATGTGTATGAGATGAAAAATGTCATTTTCAGTCTACGTGGTGATAATCAATAGTAAATGTAAGGTTCTGTGTTAATGATGATGACTTTACAGACTGTGGTGTTGCTCTTAGTGGATGAGTTAAAGGTGGATGCTGCGTTTACGGCACTTCACCATCAACACGTGTATCATGTTGTTGTTAAACAGTAAAATGCTGTAAAACTCTCCTTCTCTCCCCTGTAGACGAGATGAAGGTTCTTCTGGTCGTCTCCGTCATGTTCGCTCTCCTCCATCTGGGGCAACATGAACCTTGTAACCCTCCACGTGACAACAATGCGTACGACAAATTTGTGCTCAAACACATCCTTCAACCTCAGGACATACCTGAACTTGATGAGAACTTTACCAGAACATCAACCACTGAATGGCAGAAGTAAGTGAACAATTTAAGTCAACAAGTTCATTGTTAACTTGAGACGTGAGACACTTAAAGCAGTTTAAACTTAAACATTGTTTGTGAAAAATTCATTTTTTGGACACTCCTGCTCAATACTCATATTTCAAACAGCAACTGCTTTTTAGTGAAACAATGATCTCATTACACAGGTACTTAAAAGCTAAAGGCCTCTGCAAAGATAGACCGAAGCAGTCCTTCTTCGAGAAGAGGGATCAGGAGAAAGTGGAGGCGATCTGTCGTGGTGGGGGCTTCCGGGTAAAGTCGATCAACAAGCCACCAAAAGATGACAGAAAGAACTTTTGCATCAGTAAAAAAAAAATAGGTGTGTATAATTTAAAAGTCGAAAACAACAGTTGCGAAGTTAAATTTCCTGTAAAACAACTGAAAAGAAGAGTGATCGTGGCTTGTGATTTATTTGGCACCAAGTGCCTCCCTTCACACTTTCAGTGGTATGAAACACAAAACTCAAGTAAGATCTCCTGCAGTGGAGGCCGAGTTTCTGGACTTGTTTAACGTTGGATCCCAGTCGTCGGCCCGTTGTTGAGCTGGCAGCTAAAACCTCTTTCAGGCTCATAGTTGAAGCCTTCATGCTTTTATACTCTGTGTGAAATGTCTGATTGTGACACTTGCTGATAATGATCCACATCAACAGGCCGCATGTCTACATGACTCACTTTTCCACCATGAGTTGACTTTGTATTTGTCTCCCTTCAGCTTCTCAAGCTTTCTTCCTGCATTAAACATGTGAACTTGCAGCATCATCATTGCTGCTCCAAACTGTCTGTAGCAGCTCAGAAATAAAAGCATTCAGTAAAAACGTCTCTACGTTGCTCCTTCTTTCTTTAAGCAAAGGACGTTCAGCAGAATCAAGGATTTCTTGTGAAATGTGAGCGGAGCGACCTGCAGAACTAAAACACACACTACTTATAGAATGTGGGGGGGAGTGATGGGGGAGGGTGGATGGGGGAGGGTCCTGACGTTAGAGCTGTGTCACCCACCTGACAGTTAACTTACACTATATTTGACATTTCTAATGACAAAGGATGAAAGATTCTACAGGTAAAAGTCCTGAGATGAGAATGTTATTTGAGTTAAAGTAAAGAATAATCAAGTAAATGTATTAAAAGCAGAAGTACTCAGTGGAGAAAAACAGCATCTTATTACTGTATTATTATTATTATTATCATCATGTATTAAAGTAAAAGCAGGATTTCACTGCTGCGGTTGGTTGAGGTTGAGATCATTTATCTATTATTTACTATCAAAGTGCAGCTGATGATTATTTCCATTACGGTTTAATTCACTCATTATTCTCTCGTGCTTCCTGTTTTTTCTCTGTTCATCTGCATGAAGTTTGTTAAACCATTTGTCTCATCGTGTTTCTGTCATTAATATAAATGTACTTTCTATACGTCACTTTATTGGTGAAATGTTGAAGCTTCCTTCACGGTGGTCAAACAACAAGATATTACAGTGAAAACAGACGTTATTGTACTTTAGGGCCAAATGGTGAACTTGAGCCTCTCAGCACCTGAACACAACCTCATCAATCCGTGATCGCCAAGACAAATCCCACGTGTGTCCCTCCTCCATTTATCTGAGATCCATCACACGTGTTTATGGAGGCGAGTCGTCGTTGGACACTAACAGCTCTCCTTCCTCGATGGATCGTTACTGTATTTGTGCAGAAAGTTACGAGCAGAAGAGGCGCCGCTACTTGACGTCTTCTTCGTTCGCTTTAAGCAGCAGCGACGCTCAGCAAGAGTTCACTTCCCCATTCACAGAATTACAGGCTGGTCGGTTTTGCAGTTGATTATCACACATTAACTTTATATGGGCAAAGAGGAGATTGCAGTGCTGCCATTGGCTGTTATTATTATGTTTGCTGGTGACCAACGTTCACAACATGAGGAGCTTTAAAAAGGGGAAATGTTGTTCTAATCAGACTGTAACATCAGTCAGTGGATCCTCCTGCAGACTCAACACAACAACGTCTGCAGCTCAGAGGCTGCTGATCAGCACAGGTGAGAAAAACTACTGCAGCTATCAGCATTTCATAGATGTGATGCATGTGAAGGAACTTTACACTGTAAATGGATGTATGTTAAATACCAAGAAGGCGTCAGATACAAATAATGCATATTGAGTTTTGACCAATTCAGCCTTCCCTTTAATGTGTATGAGATGAAAAATGTCATTTTCAGTCTACGTGGTGATAATCAATAGTAAATGTAAGGTTCTGTGTTAATAATGATGACTTTACAGACTGTGGTGTTGCTCCTAGTGGATGAGTTAAAGGTGGATGCTGCGTTTACGGCACTTCACCATCAACACGTGTATCATGTTGTTGTTAAACAGTAAAATGCTGTAAAACTCTCCTTCTCTCCCCTGTAGACGAGATGAAGGTTCTTCTGGTCGTCTCCGTCATGTTCGCTCTCCTCCATCTGGGGCAACATGAACCTTGTAACTCTCCAGGTGACAAGGGTGCGGACAAAAAGTTTGTGAAGAAACACATCCTTCAACCTCAGGACATACCTGGACTTGATGAGAACTTTGACAGAACATCAACCACTGAATGGCAGAAGTAAGTGAACAATTTAAGTCAACAAGTTCATTGTTAACTTGAGACGTGAGACACTTAAAGCAGTTTAAACTTAAACATTGTTTGTGAAAAATTGCTTTTTTTAGCCACTCCTGCTCGATACACATATTTCAAAGTTATTGAACTACACTGTAAATAGAAACTACTTTGCAGTGAAACAATGATCTCATTACACAGGTACTTAAAAGCTAAAGGCCTCTGCAAAGGCAGACCGATGCAGTCCTTCTTCGAGAAGAGGGATCAGCGGAAAGTGGAGGCGATCTGTCGTGGTGAGGGCACTCAGGTAGCGTCGATGACACCGCGACCAACAGAAGACAGAAAGAACTTTTGCATCAGTGATAAAGACATAGATGTGTATAATTTTGAAGTCGAAAACAACAATTGCAAAGTTAAATTGCCTGTAGAAAAACTGAAAAGAAGAGTGATCGTGGCTTGTGATTTATTTGGCACCAAGTGCCTCCCTGCACACTTTCAGTGGTATAAAACCCAAGAATCAAGTGGTAAGAAGTGCAGTGGAGGCCGAGTTTCTGGACTTGTTTAACGTTGGATCCCAGTCATCGGCCCATTGTTGAGCTGGCAAATAAAACCTCGTTCAGGCTCATAGTTGAAGCCTTCATGCTTTTATACTCTGTGTGAAATGTCTGATTGTAACACTTGCTGATAATGATCCACATCAACAGGCTGCATGTCTACATGACTCACTTTTCCACCATGAGTTGACTTTGTATTTGTCTCCCTTCAGCTTCGCAAGCTTTCTTCCTGCATTAAACACGTGAACTTGCAGCATCATCATTGCTGCTCCAAACTGTCTGTAGCAGCTCAGAAATAAAAGCATTCAGTAAAAACGTCTCTACGTTGGTCCTTCTTTCTTTAAGCAGAGAACGTTCAGCAGAATCAAGGATTTCTTGTGAAATGTGAGCGGAGCGACCTGCAGAACTAAAACACACACTACTTATAGAATGTGGGGAGGAGTGATGGGGGAGGGTGGATGGGGGAGGGTCCTGACGTTAGAGCTGTGTCACCCACCTGACAGTTAACTTACACTATATTTGACATTTCTAATGACAAAGGATGAAAGATTCTACAGGTAAAAGTCCTGAGATGAGAATGTTATTTGAGTTATAGTAAAGAATAATCAAGTAAATGTATTAAAAGCAGAAGTACTCAGTGGAGAAAAACAGCATCTTATTACTGTATTATTATTATTATTATCATCATGTATTAAAGTAAAAGCAGGATTTCACTGCTGCGGTTGGTTGAGGTTGAGATCATTTATCTATAATTTACTATCAAAGTGCAGCTGATGATTATTTCCATTACGGTTTAATTCACTCATTATTCTCTCGTGCTTCCTGTTTTTTCTCTGTTCATCTGCATCAAGTTTGTTAAACCATTTGTCTCATCGTGTTTCTGTCATTAATATAAATTTACTTTCTATACGTCACTTTATTGGTGAAATGTTGAAGCTTCCTTCACGGTGGTCAAACAACAAGATATTACAGTAAAAACAGACGTTATTGTACTTTAGGGCCAAATGGTGAACTTGAGCCTCTCAGCACCTGAACACAACCTCATCAATCCGTGATCGCCAAGACAAATCCCACGTGTGTCCCTCCTCCATTTATCTGAGATCCATCACACGTGTTTATGGAGGCGAGTCGTCGTTGGACACTAACAGCTCTCCTTC